AAGAACCCTCTATTTCGTTGGGCCCCCCCCCCCCCCATTATTAGTAGTACCATTCAATGAATCATAAATTACCAACACCAGGCTTTCTTTTCTGCTGATGTTTATAGTAAGCATTAGACTGAGGTCATTGAACAAAAATAATAGTGTTTTGGAAAACATTGTGTTCTATAGAAAACCAGTGCTTTGCCAATGCATTGTGAAGCAACAGGTTAACTTTAATAATCCCATCCCATTAGCACAAACTCATCCTTACTTTGCTTCTCTGCTACTTTGTTTAGTGGCCAGTAGCAGTGAAAATATGTGGTACTGGGTATGAAGGAGCATGTGACTGACTCCCATACCTCTTATGTGACATCGGTGGTGCGTGGCCTAGTGCTGGGAAAACAGGGGGCGGGGATACAGTACTCAATCCTTTGTAACCTCTAACAAAGGTAACTCAGAACATAGAAGATAATAGTACTTTTAGAATGGTTATCCTTAAAATGTTTCCCCCCTATCCACTCCCTAGCAAACTCCCTTTCCCTTGCTGCCACTTACTTATCCTTGATTCATGGAGATCTTCACCGTGAGACCCCTTGGAGCTACACAGCCTCTCTTCATAAACTACTCTGGCCAGGCTGTGCAGTTGATTTCCCATTTATCCCTTTGGTAAGGTTATCAACAGTTGAGATAGCAACTGACCCGTTTCACATAAGAATAGATATGGAATCTACTGTGCATGCACAAGGATACTTGATAAAGAGAGACTGTGTGGCTCCTCCCAGTGACCCCACAGTAAAGATCTCTATTGATTGTCGAGTGTGGAAGTGGCAGACTGGTGGGGATTGCCAGAAGTGGGGAGAATAACATTTAAAAAATAACTTATTAGTAGCAAATTGATCCTTTTAATAGGTCTTTTCTTTCTTGCTTCTGATAGCTGAACAGTGTGCCAGGGGAAAGAAAGAAACTATGTCCAGCATTAAGCCAAACTTGTTGCTTTCGTCTCCATGGGCATTCACAGGTTTGCTTGAAAGTTGTGGCACATTAACAGATTTCATCAGCAAATGCCTGAACACATGTGAAATGTGTTGCTACAAGGAGGGGTAAGTTAAGTACAAGTTATGCTGGGAAGTTATGTTGCAGTGATCTGTTGCTTAGCCATTTAATACTATTACTGCTACATTTTAAAGCAGAAATCATTGAGAGATAATAACCTGTTCCAGGTCAGGTGAAGTACAAGTTATGCTGGGCAGTTCTGTTGCAATGATCTGTTGCTTGGCCAGTTGATACTATTACTGCTACATTTTAAAGCTGAAATCATTGAGGGATAATAACCTGTTTCAGGTCAGGTATATGAAGTACAAGGATTTCTTCCATTACAGATTTACCTGTGTATGTTTTGTATTTATTGAGACAGACCTTAAAGCAGATATGTAGGCAGATATACAACCCAATTTCACTCAGTTATTTATTCATTAAAATTATTAATTGTATATTTAATACTACCTCAGCCTTGTTCTATATTATGCTACTATATTTCCTTTTCCAGCATGATTCTCACTGGAAGATTAAAGGAGAACTATGAGATGAGTGATTTCCACTCACCTCATAGTTCTAGCCGACCTGTGACAATGAGACTGTCACAGGTCTGCTCAGTAGACCGGGAGGTGAGCGAACACATACCCAGACATCCCAATCTGCAAAACCTTATTTCAGGGAGGTTCCTGTCTCATTTCAGGGAGGTGCCCTTTCTGTTTTTGGTTTTTTTTTTTTTACAGTGGCCACCGTCAGAATATAAAAGAAATAATAATGATAATATATATATATATACACACACACACATATTTATATATATAAGGGTATAGGGAAACATGAATGTTTCTCCCATGTGACATTGATGGGGCTTAGCAGCCAGTCGCTGACTAGGGGAGTGACTTCACTGCTCCCCTTAGCTCTGACATCAGCCGACACCACCTTGGGGACAGGAGGAACAAGGGAGCTCTGGTCAGGTGAGGGTGGGGGGCCTGTTACAAAGACACTATAACTTTGCCCTGTATGGGAGTTTGAGAGTAAAAAAAAGAAAGTCCCTTCCCTCCTTAGCACCCTAATCTAATCTAAGCCAGAGCTCCCCAGCCTCACCCACCCAGGTGCTTACTTAGCTCTTCTGATGGTGGGAGCTGCCCATGCATGTGCAGTAGACACTAGGAGAGGCTATGGGGAGTTACTATGCAGGGGTGCAAGCACAGCACTTAGTCCCTGTTTACACTATCGCATAGCGGAAACACGTGTCATGGTGACACACATTCCTGCATGTTCGCAGGCATTTGTTTCCCACATTTAGTGCACATCTCCTTTGGTTACAATGCAGACCAAACATGGGAAAAGTAGCTCATGTAACAAAATCTGCTTCGCACATTCCACATTTTTTTTCCCCTGCATGTTTGTGTGTGGTTGGAAAAATGCACGGTTTTCCCCCCATGTTCCCAGCCGTGTTTGAAGTGCAATTAATTAGTAATGGCACCGCAAATGTGTTGCACATTTATTTATTTATTATTTATTTTTATGTAGCGCTGACAATTTTACAACAACTTTACACAGTGCACATTCACATCAGTCCCTGCCCTCAAGAATTTTCCAATGTAAGTTCCCTATCTCACATGCATACATACAAGGGCCAATTTAGACAGGAGCCAATTAACCGCATGTCTTTGGAGTGTGGGAGGAAACCAGAGTACTCCAAGGAAACCCATGCAAGCACAGGGAGAACAGGAAAATTCCTTGCAGATATTGACCTGGCCGTAATTCAAACCAGGGACCCCCAGTGATACAAGGCAGAAGCGCTAACCACTACGTTAGTGCACATTTTTTTCCGAGTTTGCCATACGTTCACAGAGCATGAGGGTGTGAACAGGGACTAAAGGTTTAAATATCAGAGAAGGCCATGGCTGGTAGGAAGAGATAAGTAGGCCCCTGGGTGGAGGTGTTTAGCTTAGATTAGGTAAGTGGCTGCTTTTTTTTTAAAGGTGAAAGTATCTTTTAAAAAGTGAGGGTGCTTAGGGAAAGGGATATTTTTCAAAAAAAATGTCCAACTGCTGTAACATAAGAATAAATAATTATAGAAAAAAAACACTATCTGGGAGATGTAGCGAGCCAGTTACATGAATAGAACAGTATATGTCTTGGTATATATAGATAGATGGAAAGACAGCTTTGTCTACAGAATGGAACTTTATGTACACCTTAGGTTTCTAAAGTGCCCCATAATTGCTCATTAACAGTTTTCTATATGTACACACAACTGAATACACTAGATTCAGTTGTGTCTGCCCTATAACAAATTGTGTCTGCCCTATGGCAATAAAGATTATACCACTCCCCTAGGGCACATATGGATTGATGATCTAAGGAATGCACAGATAAATGTAAAGACCGCTGTGTCTACAGAATGGAAGGTTACGTACATATTAGATTCATGGAGTGCCCCATAAATGCTCATTAATAGTTTTCTGTATGTACACACAACTGAATACAATAGACATAATTGTGTCTGCCCTATGGCAATAAACATTATGCCACTCCCCTTAGGGCACATATGGATCAATGACCTATGGGGTGAACAGATCGATGGAAAGACAGCTTTGTGCACAGAATGCAACTTTATGTACACATTAGGTTCTTGGAGTGCCCCATAAATGCTCATCAACAGCTTTCTATATTTACACACAGCTGCATATAGTAGACATAATCTCAATTATTGCAATGAAGATTATACCATTCCCCCGGCACAGGAAGCTTATAATAGGATAAAGAAACAAAACATATAATACATAATATTTACAGAGATACATTACTGTAGATCAGTCGTCCTTGATTTACAGCACCAGATTTAGCAGAAAAAATGGACTGCTAACATTTGCTGAAAATTTGTTTCTACAGCTTTGTGTTGACACGTGTGGATTGAAATATCCTCCAGCATTCTGTATTTCCTAGGGAGTCCCCAGCCTGTCTCTGTATCATGGGCATTAACCTTTCAAGGAAACACGTCTGCTGCATTCTCAATAATATGTTATAAAAGAACTAAACCAGAAAGAAGAGTGAGACTTTACAGGGAGTTTGGGGGCACAAAAGAAGGAATTCCATTATAGTGAGCTTGCTGTTGGAGTCCTGAAAATATAAAAGAACCAATGGGTGGTTCATCTCACCAGTCACCTAGGATTGAAATGTTTGTTTTGAGATTTGAAATTCTTGGAGCCACCATTCTTAATGGATATTCATTCATAGCTTGCTGAGTTGTAGTCCTTCTGGCTCAAGGGTATTGCTAAAGTACAACATTATATTTGACATTCAAATCCCCTTTCTGGTCTTGTATCCATTGCTGTGTAATCACACATAGTATCTGCCTTGCAGTGTGAAGCAGAGATGTTTGAGTGAGCAAAAGAGAAGACGGCAACGGGCGACAAAGAAAATCAGTATTTTTATAGGCTCGTTTGTGGTGTGCTTCGCTCCATATGTTATCACGAGGTCAGTATAATGTATTTTTTTTATTGTGTTAGTAAACAACAAAATGCACGGCCAATTTAAAGTCAATGACTATAATCTGTTATTGCTGTCTGTGAGTTCGGGAGACAATTGTGTGCTGCTAAAATTAAATAAAGGATTAGGAACAATTTTATTTTATTAAAAGAAAAGTTCAGGTTAGGAGGACCCAGTGTCAGAACATCCTGAAAACATTGCACAATGACATCCAGTTCTTCTAATGTGTGAGATCTGCAAACATCTAAGAATATCTCTTGAGAGAGCTGTTTCATGGCCCAGACAATAGATTTGACACAGGTGTCAAAGACCAAGCAGTGTACATGAGTTCATGCAGTGATCAGTATTATTGGAAACCCTTTGTAGAGATCATTACTGGAGGAGAGGGTAAAAGAAACTGCAGTCAAGCAAAAACGCAAAATCATAGCATATAAACAGTAATAGGTCAAAGCACAATTCCAGGGTACAAGTCAAATTTATCAATAAACTTTCATACTATTCATGAAAAATGTCCTATTAAATGAAGTCAGTTCCCTGAATCAATGCCCTCTGGGTAATCATTGTACATTGCAAGGGTATTACTGAACTTTGTGGCAGATTCCTATCTTTTTCTGTTCTGAAGAAAAAGTAGTTTGTTTCACTATCAGGGTTATTCAAAAAAGAGTGAAGAGTTTGGAGAAGGCAGGACAAGTGAACAATCAAGGCCAAAATAGCTGATTTGGAAAAAAATCTCCAATTCAGCTCACCAGAATTTCTTTTTATATTGCACCTTCCCAATCCTAAATGTGATGCTGCATTAGTTTTCTTTTTTTAGACTTTTTTTCCTTTAATTTTACATCGATATTCAGCCAGTACCACACTTCCTGTCTAAATGGGGGGAACCACAGGAGCAACAGTGTTACCCTTGGACAGCATAATTGTCACCCTGAGGGGAGAGAAGTGTTAGACGCACTAGAAGATTCACACTGTGTGTACAATTATTAGGCAAGTTGTATTTTTGAGGACTAATTTCATTATTAAACAGCTACAGTGCTCTCGGTCAATCCAAAATATTAATAGACCTCAAACCTGAATATTTAAGAACGTAAAAGTGAGGTTTTGGCTGTCTTAGGAGAACATCTATGTGTGCACAATTATTGGGCAGCTATTAGTGTGCACAATTATTATGCAACTAAATAGGAAATGACAATTTTCCCATCTCACTTGTTTATTTTCATGTGTTAAAGTGACAATAATAAACAACTCAAAATGTACAAATAAACATTTATGACATTTTCAAAAACAAAATCAGTGACCAATATAGCCCCCTTCTTTTCAATAACAGTCATCAGCCTTCCATCCAAGGAGTCTCTCAGTTTCTTCATCTGTTGGCAATCAACTTTTTGTGCAGCAGCAACTACAGCCTCCAAGACACTGTTCAGAGAGGTGCACTGTTTTCCTTCACTGTAAATCTCCCGTTTAAGAAGGGCCCACAAGGTCTCAATAGGGTTTAAGTCAGGTGAGGAAGCGGTCCATGCCATTATTCTTTCTCCTTTAAGGCCTTTACTGGCTAGGCACGTAGTGGAGTACTTTGAGGCATAGGATGGAGCATTGTTCTGCATACATATCATGGTCTTCTTGAAAGATGCAGACTTTTTCCTGTACCACTGGTTGAAGAAAGTGTCTTCTAAAAACTGGGAGTTGATTTTGAATCCATCTTCAACCAGAAAAGGCTTAACTAGCTCATCTTTAATAATACCAGCAAATACCAGTACCCCACCTCCACCTTGCTGGCGTCTGAGTCGATGTGGAGCTATGTGCCCGTTACTGATCCAGCCACGGGCCCATCCATCTGGTCCGTCAAGAGTCACTCCCATCTCATCAGTCCATAAAACCTTTGAAAAATCGGTCTTCAGATATTTCAAGGCCCAGTGTTGACGTTTCAACTTGTGTCTTGTTCAGTGGTGGTCGGGTTTCAGCCTTCCTTACCTTGGCCATGTCTCTGAGCACTGAATGCCTTGTACTTCTGGACACTCCAGGTAGGTTGCAGTTCTGGAATATGACAGCACTGGAGGATAATGGGTTCCTGGGAGCTTCACGTTTGATTCTTCTCAAATCTTTGGCAGTTAATTTGCATCTTTTTTTTTCAACATGTTTCTTGCGACCCTGTTGACTATTTGCAACAAAATGTTTCATGGTTCTGTAATCACACCCCAATATCTTAGTAATTTCAAGAGTGCTGCATCCCTCTGAAATACTTTTTACAATTTTTGACTTTTCAGAGACAGGTAAAACTCTTTTTTTGGCCCATTTTGCCTGAGGGAAAGAAGCTGCCTAATTATTATGGACACCTTGATATAGGGTTTTGATCTCATAAGGCCACACCCTCCCTCATTACACAAATACACATCACCTGATATGCTTAACTCCAATAAGCCTTCAAGTTTATACAGCTTGGAGCTAGGACAATATGCATAAAAATGGTGATTTGGTCAAAATACTCACTTGCCTAATAATTGTGCGCACAGTGTAGATGGACTTGACTAACAAATTAAAGCTGAGCTCCAGCTAACACTTTTCAAACAGTTACAACAACCATTTGTTTCCCTTTGGGTTAAAGTTTTTACATAAACGAATAAAAACTGACCATTGTAAGCACCCCTGTCAATGTTAAATGGTTGGTTTCATTGCTCCTAAAAAAACCTAAAAGAAAACTAGTGCAGCCACCACATTTATAGATTGCTAAGCTGCAATATAGTTAAATGTTGCTTTTGGGTTTAGATAACTGCACTTTCTCATTACTCCTCCCTTCATCAGCAAAATATCTGGAATCAGAGGGCTATGGAGGAGCATGTGAGCACCTTCCATGATGCAGTGCAATTTCACATTATAGAGGGGGTGATTTTATCACCTTCATGTAAGCTTCAGCACCATCTGACATGAAGCTTACATGGGGCAATTTGCAGCAGCAACAACTGAAGAAGGAGCAGTAGAGGAGTGATGTAATTGTAAGCATAAGTAAATCAATAGTGGACAATAAAGAGATCCTGTCATTTGCCCATAATGGGCAACATAACAGGGTCTTTTTAAAGCAATCTTTTCCTCACCTCCGTGTAATCAAAATGACAGTACCCTGAGTCAGCAGTGTGTTCTGTTTCGTTTTCTTGGTAAGAGTTCTGAACCCCCAGAAACATGGCAATCTGATATATAAATCTTAAATTCTGCAGGGAAAGCCAAAGGCTGTCCTGTCCCCTTCCTCCCTTCCACAGCTCTTTATTGAGGAGGCCGCTAATCACTTTGAAGAAGCAGTAGAGAGTTGTAGCAGGCAGGAGGGGGTGGGCCACGCTGCATGTTTCTTTGCACAATTTGACATTTTCATTTCAGAATGTCCAGGTCTTAGGGGTTCCTGGATACTTATAATGATAATAAAAGATACATGCACAGGGACAAATGTATGCACCATGCTGCCCTATGCACTGCTCAATGGTAATTCTCTGTTGTACAAGTTTTACCCCTTGTGTCATGTATTTAATTTAAGTAAGAAAACTCATGGTAGAATGTGCTCTTGGAGACCACACAGCCTGTGTAGAGCTATGTTTCAACTGTACAGACCACCACACAAGAAAAAGGACAGTTGGGTTTATGTTTCTTTAAGTACATTTAAGAGATGTGATAATAAAGAAAGGGATGCTTTAAATAAGATGATACCAAACAAAAGATGGTACAAAAGAAAGGATTTTGCTCTTAAGTTGTACATTGTATACTGTGCCACATCTGTCAAAACCAATCAGTCTTCAGGCTGGGCTCTAGTAATTGTCCCTCCATTGTATTGCTTTTATTATTCTCTCTTGTTGCCTGTGTACTATATTGTCAAAGTTTTCAATTTGTTGCCCATATATGCCCATGACTACTTGTTTATTTCACATATATTGCCATGACTACCTCTCTCTTGCCAATGTAGTGGTATTATTACCACCATGTTGTCAGGATTGCCCATTTGTTAACCACATATTGTCAGCATATTTTGTTGTGTATTCACACAATTTCATTTGTTCAGCCATTATGTTGCCAAAATTGCTCGTGTGTTGCCTGAGTATTGCCATATTTTCCCATATATAACAGTTTAGTAACATGGTGCTGTTTGTGTGAATTTGGGGCCCTGTCATTGCTGTTTGCTTTGAAGACCATATTACTACAAATTGATTCCTTGAAGACCTAACACCAACCATGTCCTTAAAAACCCCAGTATTTTCTATTCATATAGGCAGTCATATTGTGACAGTTTGATCCAGAAGATAAGCTTATGTCCAAATCTATCTAGTTTAGCAGTGCGCATATGCATAGATGTTAACGATCTAAGATTTGCCAGGAGAGTTCCGCATCTTTGCACTCTGTGTTGTCCCAGGCCATGCTCTACGATTACAGCTTCTACCTCAACAGTGCAGTCTAGCCAGCAACTCTGTATGCTACGTATGGATATGTCCACCATGCTGGAGGAATGTCGACCAGACTGCACTGATGCTGCTTGGGAGCTGCTGGCAGCTTTCAACCCGAAGGCTTAGGAGGGAAAACTTTGGAACTTGACAAACCTGCTGGAGAAAGTGGAAGGCTTTAAGAGTCTGCTTGAGAGAGGTATGGATGACCTGCAGGGTGTATGGCAGCGTAGTCTGTAAAAAGATAGTTTTCAGGGATCTGGTAGTTGTTGGAATGGGTAAGCAGTTAGAAGGCACATTACACTTTGAGTGTCCAATCTCTATAACAAGTTGTTTACTTGTTTAAATAAAGAAATAGTGCAAGGAGAAATAGACTGAAACATAAAATCCTAAAAATAGCATTTTCTCAGCATGGAAAGAGGTGAGAGTCCGAAGAGAACTTTCTGCTATTGTGAGGTTAAAGAGAGGCAGAGGAGTGTGCATCTCCTAACTGTTTACTGTGCAGAGACTTCATGTCCATCTCATGTGTTGTACCTGTTTTGACTCCACCCTGCTCTGTAAACTTCAGTATAACAT